TGAGCCCCCCCAGGTCCCTCAGGAGCTCTCCAACCCCTTCTCCTGCTGCTCCCACCCTCTGGACACGCTCCAGCCCCTCAGCATTGTCRTGAAGTGCCCCCAAAATTCCCCCCTGGAATGGGAGGTGTGACCCCACCCGTCCCCAGCACGGAGGGACAATCCCTTCCCCGCTCCCCGGGGCTGGAAAACCTCCCTGTTCCCAACTCCTGCTCCCAGTTCCTACCCCTTCCCCTGCAGAACCTGGAGATGCACGACCGGATCGAGCACCTGATCGAGAAGCAGGTCAGCCGGGGCGGGCACAGCGCCAGGGCCCGCTCCAAGTCGGAATACGTCAGCAGGTACGGGGGGGACGCGGAATTCCGGCCGGGAAGGGGCTGCCCCGCGGGTCCATGGCCTGGCTGGGATTTGGGGATGCTCTTCTGGGCTTGGGGCGTGCTCTTGGGAAGCAGGGATGGTCCTCTGGATTTGGGGATGCTCTTGGGTAGCAGGGATGCTCTCCATGAATTGGGGATGCTCCAATGGATCTGGGATAGCGGGGATGGTCCTCTGGATCTGAGGGTGCTCTTGGATAGCAGGGAGGCTCCTCTGGATCTGGGGATGCTCTTGGGTAGCAGGGATGCTCTAATGGATCAAGGAATGCTCTTGGATAGGAGGGATGCTCTAATGAATCTGGGGGTGCTCTTGGATAGCAGGGAGGCTTCTTTGGATTTTGGGATGCTCTTGGATAGGAGGGATGCTCTAATGAATCTGGGGATGCTCTTGGGAAGCAGGGATGGTCCTCTGGATTTGGGGATGCTCTTGGGAAGCAGGGATGCTCCTCTGGATCTGGGGATGCTCTTGGATAGCAGGGAGGCTCTAATGGATTTGGGGATGCTCTTGGATAGCAGGGAGGCTTCTCTGGATTTGGGGATGCTCTTGGGAAGCAGGGATGCTCTCCACAAATTGGGGATGCTCCAATGGATCTGAGGACACCCTTGGGAAGCACACCCCGTTTTTTCCCACGTCTCCATTCCCTCACCCCTCCCTCAGCACAGCCCAGGGCAGCCGAAACCCCTTTCTAAGGGGGGACCCCCCACGCCCCCCCAAGACCCTTTTCCCACGTTTTTTTCCTTCATCCAGCTGAAAACCCCCCTTTTCCCCCCGCAGCAAGAGGCTGACAGGCCCCAAACCGCTGCCTCTGATCCGGGTGGTGGAGACCTGATTCCCCAGGGCCGGGCCGAGCTTGGACTCTTCCCCTTGGCACGGCTGGCTCCGGATTTCCCCGCTTGGCTCTCGTGCTCCGGCCTCGGGACCCTCCCGGAGCCG